CTCAGGCGGGTTGGCCGCGACCTTGGCCCTGCGCTGCGCCGCTCGCTCTGCCGAGATCTCGCCGACCCCATCGCTGCAGCAGCGCCGCGGGTCTCCTTCTGGCTTGCTGGGCCGTCAAGCTTGAGCTTCGCTCGCAGCTCCGCGAGGCGCCTCTCAAGGTCTGGCCTGCGCGATTCTGCCGCGCTGCCATCCTTGGGGGCGTCAAGGTTGTCGTCGTCGCCACCAGACACAGCTGGCCCCCCTGCAGGGCCACCCCTCGGGGCCTCGCCCAGTTCGCTCGCCGCCGGGGCCGGGGGCCCCTCGATGGGAAGCTGCGGCGACGGTCGAGGAGCGTCGAGGTCGGGGCGCAACCGGTACGAGTCCACGTGGATCAGCTCCCTGCCTTCGTCTGGAGTCGCCCCCACGCAGACGCCCGCGGCCCCCTCGAACATGATGGACCCACGAACCCGGAAAGGGATATAGACATGTGCAGCATGGTCACGTTTTCACGATATCCAACTGGGCGACACCTCACGAAACATCCCACGAGACACCCCGCGAAACATCCTAGGAGACACCTCACGAAACAACCCACCTCACGAAACATTCCACGAGACACCCCGTGAAACATTCCACGAGACACCCCACGAACAGGCAACCACTCAACCAGACACCCCACGAAACATTCCACGGGGGTGCGACTGGGTGTGGTCGTGCTGGGGTGTGGTCGTGCTGGAGTATGGTCGTGTTGGGGTGTGGTCGTGCTGGGGTGTGGTCGTGCTGGGGGGTGGTCGTGCTGGGGGGTGGTCGTGCTAGGGGGGTGGTCGTGCTGGGGGGTGGTCGTGCTGGGGCGTGGTCGTGCTGGGGCGTGGTCGTGCTGGGGCGTGGTCGTGCTGGGGTGTGGTCGTGCTTTGGTGAGGTCGTGCTGGGGTGTGGTCGTGCTGGGGTGTGGTCTTGCTGGGGTAGGGTCGTGCTGGGGTCGGGTCGTGCTGGGGTGTGGTCGTGCTGGGGTATGGTCGTGCTGGGGTGGGGTCGTGCTGGGGTGGGGTCGTGCTGGGGTCTGGTCGTGCTGGGGTGTGGTCGTGCTGTTGGGGTGTGGTCGTGCTGGGGCGTGGTCGTGCTGGGGTGGGGTCGTGCTGGAGTGGGGTCGTGCTGGGGTGTGGTCGTGCTGGGGTGGTCCGAACCCTGTGACTTATCGATCGGGTCGTGCTGGGGTGTGGTCGTGCTGGTGCTGGGGTGTGGTCGTGCTGGGGTGTGGTCGTGCTGGGGTGTGGTCGTGCTGGGGTGTGGTCGTGCTGGGGTGTGGTCGTGCAGGCAACCACTCAACCAAGGCGGTGTGCTCGTGCTGGGGAGTGGTCGTGCTGGGGGGTGGGCGTGCTGGGGGGTGGTCGTGCTGCGGTGTGGTCGTGCTGGGGGGGTGGTCGTGCTGGGGTGGGGTCGTGCTGGGGCGTGGTGGTGCTGGGGCGTGGTCGTGCTGGGGCGTGGTCGTGCTGGGGTGTGGTCGTGCTGGGGTGAGGTCGTGCTGGGGTGTGGTCGTGCTGGGGTGTGGTCTTGCTGCGGTGGGGTCCTGCTGGGATGTGGTCGTGCTGGGGTGTGGTCCTGCTGGGGTGTGGTCGTGCTGGGGTGGGGTCGTGCTTGGGTGGGGTCGGGCTGGGGTGTGGTCGTTCTGGGGTGTGGTCGTGCTGGGGTGTGGTCGGGCTGGGGTGGGGTCGTGCTGGGTCGGGGTCGTGCTGGGGTGTGGTCGTGCTGGGGTGTGGTCGTGTTGGGGTGTGGTCGTGCTGGGGCGTGGTCGTGCTGGGGTGGGGTCGTGCTGGAGTGGGGTCGTGCTGGGGTGTGGTCGTGCTGGGGTGGTCCGCACCCTGTGACTTATCGATCGGGTCGTGCTGGGGTGTGGTCGTGCTGGGGTGTGGTCGTGCTGGGGTGTGGTCGTGCTGGGGTGTGGTCGTGCTGGGGCGTGGTCGTGCTGAGGTGTGTTCGTGCTGGGGTGTGGTCGTGCTGGGGCGTGGTCGTGCTGGGCGTGGTCGTGCTGGACATCCTGCCAAAATTCCAGGAAATCGTGCAAAACAAAGGAATTAGTCGAGACATCATCGAAATTCCTTCGCGCGGGGCGCTTTTCCGCGTCGCGGTCGGCTCTGCAAAACAAGCGTTTCGCTCGAGACATCCTCGGCAAACTCTGCGGAGCAAGCGTTTCGCTCGAGACATCCTCAACACACGAAAAAGTGGCCCGCACCCTGTGATTTATCGATCGGGATTTCAAAAACAAGCGTTTCGCTCGAGACATCCTCAAATTTTAATTCGCCGGCCTCCTTCGACCTCGTTATTTATCAGGGAAAAAATTCGCCGGCCTCCTTCAAGTTGGCACCGGGGGACAGGGTTTACCCACTAAAAGAGAACCCTGGGCTCATGCCCTTTCCGGGAAAAAGTGCACGAGACCGTCTTCGCCAGGGCCCCGAAGCAGCGCCGACAACATGGCTGCCGCTGACCCCTTTCACCACGTCCATGAACTCGCCCTCCAAGGAGCAGCCGTTCCGACCGCTGACGGTGAACGATCCGCCCCTAGCTGACATGGTGAAGTGTTTGGCGGACCCGCGGTACTCATCTCTGCACTCGAGCACCTCGCCGTCCCGCGCGGCCATGAACGGAGTGTACCAGTCAGGCGTTCCACCTTGGGATCAGCCCTCGCTCTGGCTCGTGCAGCAGCCTTGCCCACGGGCTTCGGGCGGGGCGGCGGCTCTTCGTCATCGACGAACGCGGGAACATCTTCTTGAAGCCTGCTCTTCCCGCTGCTGCGTCGCTTCTTCTTGAGCTTCACTTCGCCGCCCTCGCCACTGGCTGCCGCTGGCCTCTTGAGCGCCCCACCTGCCGCAGGCGGGGGTAATGGGGCGGGACGGCCCTTCTTGAGCATGCCCGCCCCGCGGGCGGCCGCCCGCGCGCCCCGCGGCCGCGGCCGCGGCCTTGCCCGTAGGCGACCTACGCCCAGAAGGGTGAACCCCGGAATTCGGGGTCTAGCCAGAAGGGGGAACCCCGGAATTCGGGGCAGGGACTGGGTCGAGAGCATGGCCTTCGACCACCTCGGAACATCCTATCATGAGCTGGAGCTGGACGCCGTCAATCAGGCGTTGCTTGGAACGCGCATCGGCGTGAGCTGTCTTCTGGACCAGGCTTTCGCAGCAAGTCATATCACGAAGAAGGAACATGCATACGTACATGCAGGACTACATCGGTCAAAGCTGGGAGTCTTCAGGGTGAGAATCAAAATCCACAAGTGCCCCCTTCAGATCCGACCTATTTCGAACCTCGCCGGCACGATGATTGAGCCCATAGGTACTTATCTCGTGCAGGAGTTGGGCCATGTCGTGAAGCAGCTAGATCAGGTCATCGTCAATACAGATGATTTATTGGACTGCGTGCGGCGCACGCGAATCCGGCCAGGAGCGCGACTTAGAACAATGGATGTCTCTAACCTTTACCCTTCCATCGATAGACAACACTTCATGGAGAAAGTGGCGCCGCTGGTAAGGCGTTTTGTGTCTGATTGGGGCAAGGCCAGTTTGCGAATTGAGCTGATGAGAGTCACCCTGGAGTCCAGCCTCGTCTGTTTCAAGGGAAGAACTTTCGCTCCACGTAGCGGTATACCAACTGGTCTTTCGCCGGCCGTCATCTTCGCAAACATGTACATGCACAGTTTCGACGTTTACTTTCTCGCGAACGGAAGGGGGAAGGATAGATCATTATTTCCGTTTCATCGATGACGCTTTCATGTCAGACGACATGCAAGATGAAGAAATCGACACGCTGGCGAACTCATGGCACAGAGACGTACAATGGCTCAGGACAGGCAGGGAGGTAGTCACCTTCCTGGATCTGAACATCCAGACAGACGAGCAGGGTATGGTGTGCTTCGACCTCCACAGACAGGAACTAACTATGTATCTATACCTCCCTACGACCTCAAATCATCCTCCAGGTGTTTTCCAAGGTCTGGTAGTAGGTGAAGCCACGCGCATCGCCAGAAGGACACAAAATCAGACCAGCTGGGAAAAAGCATTGGGCTTTCTTCCGAGAGCGCTTGCGGGAGAGAGGATACAACATCAGCTTCGTGAACAGGCATCTGGCCAGAGTCAGGAACGCCATGCAAAAGGAAACGCGCCACAGAGAGGTAGCACCCGCAAGAAAGTTCCATTTCAAATTGAGGTATCGGAGAGGACTGGATCCGAGAGCCGTCGGCGAAGCTTTGCGTAGGCATGCGAGCTTGTTGAAAGCAACTTTCGGCGCTCGATGTCGATGCGTATCGGCCTGGGCAGTCGATAAGAATATCTTCCGCCAGCGCTACAGATACACTTGGTCCTGAGTTTTTCTTTTCCCCAGGGGTAGGGCTGAGTCTGAGGGTGGGCCCTGGGTTTTTGTTGCAATCCTTCGTTCAAGTGAGGGCGGAGGGGCACGACTTGTTGCCCCTCCCGGCGGCAGAAGCAGCAGTCATCCAATACAGGGGTGTTGTTGAGAGATCGCCGCATGCATGCATGTGTTTTTGTTTGCCGTATCGCATTGCACGCAGTATTGTGTCGATCGTGCACTTGCTGTGTTCGCATGCCGCTGCCATTTTCACTCGAGTCCTGACGAGCCCCAGCAGGGGCGAAACGTTGACACGCGTACTGAAAAGGCACGGGCTTGAGAGCGCCATACGAGTAAGGTGTGCGCAGCAGGCCCCCGCCAGTGGGCGGCATGACCAGCCCCGCGCGCGCGCGTGCGCGGGAGGTGGGGGCGCGCCGCCCCAGCCGTTGTGGGTTCACTTGGGCCCAGGCAGCTGCGGTAAAAGCCATCGAGTTCCTCCAATGGTTTCCGGCCATACTCCCGTGCATCATGGTAAACCACAGAACGCATCCATCATCAGCATCAGCATCAGCATCATCATCAGCATCATCATCATCATCGTCATCATCATCATCATCATTATCATCACCACCACCATCATCATCAACATCATCATCGTCGTCATCCGATCGCGGCCCGGGCGACTGCGCCTGTCGGTGCTTCGTGCTCGGTCTCGGCGTAGGGCAGGGCCACGCAGACGCCGCTGTCGCGGGCCAGGCTGGCCACAAGCCGCATGGAGGCGCCACCCTGCTCTCGCGAGTGCATTCAAAGACCCTCGCTTGCGCCTGCCGGTCCCGCCCACTACAATCCTTGTGCTTTCCGTCCCTCCCTCCTTTCTCCTTCCGCCTGGCGCGTCCCCAGGGCGCGCCGAGGTGTTCTGTGTCACGTTGTGCCTGTACGTACATGCCGTCGCGGACGACGGGAATGACTCCTGCTCCTTCTCCTTCTCCTTCTCCTGTTTTTCCTCGTCTTCCTCCTCCTCCTCCTCCATTTCCTCCTCCAGTTTCTCCTCCTCCTCCTCCTCCTCCTCCTACTTCTCTTGCTCCTCCTCCTGCCTCCGGCTCCTGCTCCTTCCCCACCTCATTTCTCCTGTTCCCCAACCCACCATCCTCATTCTCATCCTTCCTCCATCTACATTTGCCTCATCCGACTCTACCTCCTCATCGCCTACACCCTCCTCTTCTCCTGGTCATACTCCTCATCCTCATTCTCTACCTCGTTCTTTTCGTGCCCCTTCTGATCTACACCCACTTCCTCCGCCTTCTGCCCACTCCCCCCACCTCTTCTCTCCCTCGGTACCTCCTGTCAATCTCCCTTCTCCCCCTCTCCCTGTTCCCCCATCCCTCACATCCCTTCTTCCCCCGTCGTCCTTCTTCTGGCCCATCCTTCCTCCCTTCTCGGTCCTCCTTCCAGCTGCGCAGAAGAAGAGACCACGCGCTCAGAGCGCGGGCCTTGCCAAAGGCAAGCCCGGGGAAACTGCAGGAGGCGCGCCCGACTCACCTCTTCGTGCTGCGGCTGGTCCGCCTCTGACACCACATCCCCGCCTCCTCTGGCACCTGGTCGCCTCCTCCTCCTCCTCCTCCTCCTCCTCCTCCTCCTCCTCCTCCTCTTCCTCCTCCTCCTCCTCCTCCTCCTCGTCATCGTCCTCCTCCTCCTCCTCCTCCTCCTCCGCCTCCTCCTCGCACATCCTCCCCCACCACCGCTGCCCTGCACCTCCTTCATCGCCACTTCTTCCCCACAGACCATCCGCGCAAACCCTTCTCTTCCTCCTTCTGTTCATCCCATTTTTTCCTTTCGAGCGCATTCCGCCAGCGCTTACAGCCGTCGGAGGCTTTCCCTGGCCGATGGGGACAAGCGTCCGAGACTTCGTACGCACATGTTTTGGGAGCTGGCGCTAGCGACCTGGACCTGCATGCCGCACGGGCTGCGGTGTCGGAGCCGCCCGGTTTCGGAATCTGGTGTGGGGGGTCCCCCGCCTGTCTGCCAGCGATTCAGCGAGCCCTGCAAACTGCCGCAGGCAGGACATGCAGGGTGGTCCCTGGACGCCTGTCGGGATGCTTTGGTGTGTTTCTCCCGCCGCCCGCACCTCCCGCCGCCACTCCTCGCCATCTCACACGTGCCTGTCTGGAGAAGAAACTAGGAGGAAGAGGACGAGAGTGAGGCGGAGGGTGGCTCAGCGAGAGTTCAGGATGCTGACGAAGGCCGGGCCAGCGCACTGTGCAAAATCCCCTGTTGATGTTGCCTCGGGCTGGCATCTCTCCGGAGAAACTCGCTGGCGACGAGCAGCGCAGAGAGGAGATCGAGAACTCATCAAGAGGCAGCGGGATTGAGATTGAGATCCAGCGGAGCACGTCCAAGGTCCAAGTTGCCCGAACGCACACGCATCGAATGAAACATGACGGCGAGGCTACTTGGGGGTCAGGCCTCGTCGGAGTCGCCCAAGACGGCAGTTCTGTGAATGCAGCGTCTGGGCTTTCTCGGCGAGGCCTACACAAGGCCGCTTGAGCCCAATAGTCCGCCCACTTTGCCCGACCACACACGCACAACGCACGCACCACGCAAAACCGAGGATGGGGGTAGCGCGAGGAGGCGGAGGGGGAAGACAAGGGAAGGAGGCAACGGGAGGCAGGGAAGCCCAGCGCGTCCCGCCGCGTACCATCAAAGTCTCTCAGGAGGCTCGGGGGCATCTCAGAGTGGTCTGGGGCCGGAGCATTCTTGGGGGCGTTTGGGGGTCGGGAGACGGCGAAAGGGTGCCGTGGCTCGAGGCACTCTCCTTGGGAGCTGCTTGGGAACCATCGGAGTCTCGTGGAAGACTCTGGGGAATTTGGGAATGGTCCTTGGAGGATTCTTGGCCCATTGAGGACTGCGGGAAGGGCGTCGTCTAGGTTCTCTTCGGCCCCTCTTCGAGCCCTCGTGGGGCTCTCTGGAGCCTTTAGGGGCCCTCGTAGCCCATTCCTGGGCTTTCTTAAGACCTCTCGGGCCGTCATGGGGTCATGTGGGGGGTCTCGGGCCGTCTTGGAGCTCGTCGCTTTGGTGCCTGTCGAGCAGCGCCTAGGGCCCTCAAGGGGCTGTCTCGGGGGCCACCAGGGGCTCTATGAGGCTGTCTTGAGCTTCTCCTGGGCAGTCTTCAGGCCATCTGGGGCCGTCTTGGGACACTTGGCGCGGCCTTCTGGCCTGTCTTGGGGCGATCTGGGATGGCCCTGGAGCCGTTTGGGGCCGCTCCTGGCCCGAAATGGCGAGAACATGTAGAACAACCTTCAAAAAGCAAATGTGAGACCGTCATCGGGGTCAAGTTTGGCCGTTTTCCGAGGCACCTGGCCCGTGGTCGGGCCGTCTTGGGCTGTCATGGGGCTCCGTTCGGTCCTCTTGGGCCATCCTCGCGCGCTCCTGAGCGTCTCAAAGCTGTCTCGGGGCTGTCAGAGGCTGTCTTGGTGCCACCGAGGGGCTCTCTGGAGCCGTCAGAAAGCGCCAGGGCGCTTCGGGCGCTCGGGGACAACTTTTTCACTACAATCCCTGTCTAGTAGAAGAAAAAAAACCATACACATACACTGTTGGCGCTCTGCGCAGATTTCTTGGATCTGGGCTAGGACCCCCTCCTTGACGCACGGAGCGCGCCAGGGGCGGCTCCGGAGGCGCCGCCGGGGTGGCCCAGCGCAGATCCAAGAAATCCGAGCGGAGCGCCAAAAGTTTGTTTATGGCACTTTTTGCCAAATCAGTGGCCACGAAACGCTGCACCGGGCGGGAGAGAAGCACGCGAACTGCGGATGAGGGAGGAGGGGGAGGAGAAGGGAAGGAGGAAGGAAGGAAAGAGAACGCGGGGCGGTCTCTCTTCAGAACGAGGACCCAACGCCACAAGACGGCTGGGACAAAATATGAAACAAACCGTTCCCAGACTAGTTTCCAACCATCCTGTGGTGTTGGGTCCTCGTTTTGAAGAGACAGCGCCCCGCTTCTCCTCATTCCTCCTCCACCTCCTCCTCCCTCCCCCTCCTCCCATCCTTTGCCACTGCCCTCCGCATGTCCTCATGATCGCAATCATCATCACCATCATCATCATCATCATCATCATCATCATCATCATCATCATCATCATCATCATCATCATCATCATCATCATCATCATCATAATCATCACCATCACCATCACCATCATCATCATCATCATCATCATCATCATCAGCAGCAGCAGCAGCAGCAGCAGCAGCACCAACATCAGCATCAGCATCAGCATCAGCATAGCAGCATCAGCATCAGCATCAGCATCAGCATCAGCATCATCATCATCATCACCATCATCATCATCACCATCATCACCATCACCATCACCATCACCATCATCATCATCATCATCATCATCATCATCATCATCATCATCATCATCATCATCATCATCATCATCATCATCATCATCATCACACCCAGTACAGCGCTTCGTGGCCCCATGGGGAGCTCCACAGAACGTCCCAGTGGCGCAGTTCGCATGCGTCTCCCCCGCCCAGTGCAGCGCTTCGTGGCCCCATAGGGAGCTCCACCGAAGGTCCCCATGGCGCAGTTCGCATGCGTCTCCCCCACACAGTACAGCGCTTCGTGGCCCCATAGGGAGCTCCACCGATAGGGAGCTCCACCGAAGGTCACAGTGGCGCAGCTCGCATGCGTCTCCCCCACACAGTAAAGCGCTTCGTGGCCCCATAGGGAGCTCCACCGAAGGTCCCAGTGGCGCAGTTCGCATGCGTCTCCCCCACCCATTACAACGTTTCGTGGCCCCATCAGGAGCTCCACCGAAGGTCCAAGTGGCGCAGTTCGCATGCGCCTCCCCTATTCAATACACCGCTTCGTGGCCCCATAGGGAGCTCCACCGAAAGTCCCAGTGGCGCAGTTCGCATGCGTCTCCCCCACCCAGTACAGCGCTTCGTGGCCCCATCAGGAGCTCCACCGAAGGTCCCCGTGGCGCAGTTCGCATGCGTCTCCCCGACACAGTATAGCGCTTCGTGGCCCCATGGGGAGCTCCACCGAAGGTCCCAGTGGCGCAGTTCGCATGCGTCTCCCACACCCATGACAGCGCTTCGTGGCCCCATGGGGAGCTTCACCGAAGGTCCAAGTGGCGCAGCCCGCACGCGTCTCCCACACCCAGTACAACGCTTCGTGGCCCCATGGGGAGCTCCACCGAAGGTCCCAGTGGCGCAATTCGCATGCGTCTCCCCCACACAGTACAGCGCTTCGTGGCCCCATAGGGAGCTCCACCGAAGGTCCCGGTGGCGCAGTTCGCATGCGGCTCCCCTACCCAGTCTTGCGTTTCGTGGCCCCGCAGGGAGCTCCACCGAAGCCCCCAGTGGAACCGCCAGCATGCGTCCCACACACCCGATTTGGCATTTTCACCGAGCCAGTACAGCGTTTCGTGGCCCCATTGGGAACTCCAGCGGAACCCCCCGTGGGACCGCCCGCTTGCGTCCCACACGCCCAGTTTGGCACTTCCACCCACCCAGTACAACGTTTCGGGGCCCCATAGGGAGCTCCACCCAAGGCCCCAGTGCCACCGTCCGCATGCGTCCCGCACAGCTAATTCCACCGACGGCCCCAGTGCTACCGCCCGCATGCGTTCCCCCCGCCCAGTGCAACGCTTCGTGGCCCCATAGGGAGCTTCACCGAAGAA